TTTTTTTTTTTTGGGGTAAAATGCAGAGCGTTCAAAGAATGTCCCCACCCAGATGAGAAAACAAGAATGCAGTTAAGCCGAGAGTTGGGTTTGGCTCCTCGCCAAATTAAGTTTTGGTTCCAAAACAGAAGGACTCAAAGGAAGGTTCATTTTTTTCTTTCCTTTTACTTCAGTTGTATCTGTAAGTGGATGTTTGGCCATGCTTAAGAAAAAAAAAGGCCAAGAAGAGCAGCTAAAAAAGGGATTTTAAGCACAACAGTTTAATTCTATGGTGTTTATTATAAGCTATCTTGCTTGTATTTCTCTTCCCTATTATGTTAAAACAGCAAATTTTGTCACGGTTTAGGCACAATACGAAAGAGCAGATAATAGTGCACTTCGGGCAGAGAATGACAAAATCAGGTGTGAGAACATAACAATCAGTGTGGCACTCAAGAATGTGATCTGCCCTTCTTGTGGAGGACCTCCAGTTTCAGAAGATCCATACTTGGACGAGCAGAGACTGCAAATGGAGAATGTCCAGTTGAAAGAAGAGGTTTATCGCCGTTTTTCCAGTTTTGATTCCATCTTCAAGAAGATGCTTATTAAGTTTTCTCTTTTTAGTAATTATTTGTTAATCCTGTTGCATTCTTTGCAGCTTGACAAAGCTTCCAGCGTTGCTGCCAAATACATAGGCCGGTCCATTTCACAACTCCCACCAGTGCAGCCTTTTCATGTATCGTCATTGGATTTATCCATGTCGAGTTATGGAGGGCTCAGAATTGCCGGCCCTTCGCTTGATCTTGATCTTCTTCCAGGAAGCTTGACTGGTTCTTTGCAAAAATTACTTTTCCCAACATTGAGCATTTCGGACATGGATAAATCTCTCATGGCTGATATTGCTAGCAATGCCATGGATGAATTGATTAGGCTTTTACAAACCAATGAACCACTTTGGATGAAATCAGCTGATGGAAGAGAAGTTCTTAATCTCGAAAACTACGAGAGAATTTTCCCCAGTCCTAATACTCACAGGAAATGTCCCAATATTCGAAATGAAGCTTCAAGAGATTCTGGTGTTGTGATAATGAGTGGCTTGGTATTGGTTGACATGTTTATGGACACGGTTAGTTATTCTCGATCTTTATTTTCGTAGCATTTCCCATTTGTGTACTTAATGTCGTTCTGAATTGTTTTGCTTAATAACAGAGTAAGTGGATGGAATTATTTCCTACTATTGTTTCAAGGGCAGTAACGCTAGAAGTAATATCATCTGGAATGCTGGGAAGCCAAACTGGCACATTGCAATTGGTAATAATCCCCTGACCAAAAATTTTCTTTTTCAATTTTGATTGCAGTTCATTTAATAGAATTACTATTTTGGTAGATGCATGAAGAGTTGCAGGTGCTTTCGCCATTGGTGCCGACTAGGCAAATCTGTTTCCTTAGGTTCTGTCAGCAAATTGAACAAGGCTCATGGGCAATTGTCGACATTTCATATGATCTTCCCAATCAAGAGAGCCAATTCGCTTCTTCATGTATAGCTCGCAGGCTTCCTTCTGGATGCTTGATACAAGACATGGCAAATGGTTATTCCAAGGTTGAATATTAGCGTATTCAATTTTCTATCACTCTGTTTTGTAATATAGTAAGCAATACGAACATTTACCCAAATGTTTTTGTTCTACAAATGATAGGTCACTTGGGTCGAAAACTGGGAAATAGAAGATAGGGAGCCAATTCATAGGCTTTATAGAGATCTTATTCACAGAGGATTGGCATTTGGAGCAGAAAGATGGCTTTCCGCTCTTCAAAGGATTTGTGAAAGATTTTCTTGTCTTATGGTTACTAGCAATTCGACTTGTGACATTGGAGGAGGCAATTCTCGACTATTTTTACTTCTATTCCAAAATTATGTTCGAAGTGATCATTTTTATGTTTTCATTACTAATTTTCCTGAAGCATTCAATTTTTTACAGTAATTCCATCACCTGAAGGGAAAAGGAGCATGACGAAACTTGCCCAGAGGATGATCAATAACTTTTGTGCAAGCATCAACCCGTCTAATGGTGAACGATGGATGACACTTTCAGGGTCGAATGAGTTTGAAGTGCGCGCAGCACTTCATAAGAGCACTGATCCTGGCCAGCCTAATGCCGTGGTACTTAGTGCAGCCACTACAATTTGGCTTCCAGTTTCTGCACAAAACATCTTCAATTTCTTCAGGGATGAGAGAACTCGACCTCAGGTAAGAATTTAACTTAATACTAGCATCATTTATTTGAAATTCAGCTTATCTGGTTTATGCAAGACAATGGTCTTTTATCTTCTCATATTGTTTGTAAATGTAGTGGGATGTTCTTTCCAATCAAAATCCTGTTCAAGAAGTTGCTCACATTTCAAATGGTGCTCATCCAGGGAATTGCATCTCTGTTCTTCAGGTAAAATTCCTCTCCCTAATCATCATGGATAATTCTACATGTACATTATGGTGTCCATATTGTACCCCTCCAATCATGAAATTTCACATATACATTATGGACACCCTTATGGACACTATAATGTACATGTAGTATAACCCAATCATCATAGTCCGTCGCATTTTTTTAGAAGAACAAAACTTTTATTCTCTTGGCATACGACAACATTAGCACACGTTAGGAATTAGTACTTGATAAAAATGGCTAGTATAATGAATGATTTTAGTTTCTTTTTCTTATTTATGACAAACATGCTAGTTTTGGTTAACTGATTCTTATATCCTTGTATTGATCAACTGTGAATTCTTCAATCAGGCTCTCAACGCTAACCAGAACATGCTGATACTCCAAGAAAGTTGCATAGACTCGTCAGGTTCACTTGTCGTGTACAGCCCGGTCGATCTTCCGTCCATCAACATAGCAATGAGTGGAGCCGACCCTTCATCCATAGCCCTGTTGCCTTCCGGGTTCACCATCTCACCAGATGGTCGGCAACAAGATCAACTTCAAGCTGGAGGAATTGATTATGGAGCCTCAACCAGCACTGGTGGTAGTTCATCAGGTTCACTTATCACAATAGTGTTTCAAATACTAGTGAGCAGCTTACCATCGGCCAAAATGAAGCAGGAATCAGTGACCACTGTTACTAACCTTATCAGCGACACAGCCCGCCAAATTAAAGCTGCCCTGAATTGCATTGCTTCCTGATAGGTGGATTAGACAGTACAGTACAAAACAGTATAAAATAATGAAGGAGGGAACCTTATTGGTTAGTTGGGGATTTTGAATGCTACTGTGCTGCTGTCTGCTGCTGTTTTTGCTGCCAAGTCTCATTACAATTCACAACCACCTTAACTTGTTATTTTTATCCAAGTTTTTTTATAGTGTCTTTTTTGTCTTTTTATTATTATTATTATTATTAATTTTTTTGAATTTTCAACATAGTCAAGAACGTACCATGTATGGAAAATTGCACAGCGGGTCCTCAATATATTGTTTTAGCAGGAAGTTAGTAACAAACTTTAATTATAGTTGAACAATTGTCACTTCTTCTTTGCATGTCTAATTTTACGAAGCTAAATTATGCTCCGAAACATGGGTGATGTTTAGAAAATTGAATTGAGATATATTTTAAGAATGTATATAGGGATTTGTCAGTCAAACAGGGCCATTGACAGGCCGAGGTGTTGACAACACCTTGGCCATTGATTATGTATGCGCGTGCCCCATGTGCTGCAAGATCGAGGGCTGAGCTCATGCCACTTCGGCTTGGATTTAAACCCAGGCTATGTTGCAGGGTTCATATATATATATATATATATATAAAACGTGTGGTCCTATGAAAATTAAGACTGGCATGAATCTAAAATGGGGTAACAATAATGACAGAGTGGATAATTTAATATAGTTATTTTCAATTTAATGCTCCACAACAAGTCATGTCTTGGGGTCCGAATGCAATACATTTGGTTGCATGAATTGTTTAAAAAAAATAATAATAATAATAAATAAATGGAAGGGGGAAAGAAACAATTATGGTAAATTCGTATGATGGAGCTTTGACCTCAAAATTGACTTTTCGAGAAATTCCATCTCCAAAAACATAAAATGTCAAATAATTTCGTCTATTTTTCTTCTTTCTTTAAATTAAAATAGAGACACAAGACACATACCCACTAATTCATAAAATAGAGAGAATTAATTTAGTAAAACATAAACTGCTGCAATGATTAGTATAACTAAGCCTTGGCTTATTCAACTAAAATAATAAATAAAGCAAAATCATAAATTATAAAATAAATATACTAATGAAAACAAAATTTCTAAACGTTAAAAATAAGATCTCAAGACCCACCTTAAATGCTTATTTGAAACTCAACTCTATTTTCTGTTGACTGAGTATAATGTCATATTTTATAGGATAATTTCAACCGTAGTCTTAAATCTTTCAAATATTTGTATAGGAAGTAGCGATAGAACTGATAGTATTGACAAGTGGTTACATCAATGGCTAAATTTATTTCTCTTTGTCTATTTCTTTTAAGTTCCTTAAAAGTTCTTGTGGGAAGGAAATGGAATCGTTGGAATGGAGAAATTGGGGTTGGCAGAGGTGGAGGAAATGAGACTCTGGCGAAGGTTCTTCATCATTTTTTTGGGTACTTGTGCACCCATTAACATAGGAATTATGTGTATAACTTGCTCCATCGATTGATTGATCTCAATTTCAATTTTCCACACCGTCCCTCCTGATCACTCCAAGGTAATGAAAAAGGCTTGACACATGATCGCATCCAATTCTATATGTTCGATAAAGATGATGAACGAGTCTCTGTTGAGACACATGTGATTAATGTTGGGCATCTTGAATGGTTCAAACAACGGGACCTAACCTAAACAGCAGTGTCCTTTGTTTTTATCTAGCTGGGGTACCCCCAAAGATTTACCACCCTCACCCTCCGACAGTGTCCCATCATTAAAGGTAGAATAAGAAAGTCCTTATTATCTAAATCTAAAGTTTCATCATTCTACTCAATAAATCTCATGTTCTCTTCGCTTTGAGCCGCTATTTCACGAGGGAAAGCAAACAGCTTGTGGAGAAAAATAAGTGTTAGACAGATAATCAGGCTTCCAAGAAACGTTTCTCAGAATCTGTAAAAGAGAAAAAAAGGTGAAACCTGATTCAAAGACAAGGAACTTTGAATCCTTTTTATACATATACATGAATTCATAGAACTAGTATTCATTGAAGAAGAAGGAGAAGGTGAATTTTGTGAGTGATCTGGTCTAGCAGGGAAAAGTTATGGCCCCAGTCGGATTGCCTCCAGGTTTCAGGTTCCATCCGACTGATGAAGAGCTTGTCAATTATTATCTCAAAAGGAAAGTTCATGGCCTAGAGATTGAACTTGACATAATTCCAGAAGTTGATCTTTACAAATGTGAACCTTGGGAATTAGCAGGTTATTCCTAACTCTTCTCTATATCTGTGTGTGCACGAGCACTTATTGGACTGGATTCGACAGTATTTTCTTACATAATACTGTCCATACATACCCAATTCCTTAGTTTTTCATCACATGATTTTGAAACTTAAATTTAGTCATTGTGTAACTGCAGAGAAATCCTTTTTGCCAAGCAGAGATCCAGAGTGGTATTTTTTTGGACCAAGGGACAGGAAGTACCCCAATGGATTCAGAACAAATAGAGCCACCAGAGCAGGATATTGGAAATCCACCGGGAAAGATCGGAGGGTGAGTAGCCAAAATCGACCCATTGGAATGAAAAAGACATTGGTATACTATCGGGGTCGAGCTCCACAGGGAATCAGGACTGATTGGGTGATGCATGAGTATCGTCTTGATGATAAGGAGTGCGAGGAGACTTC